CTTGACTTCATGTTCTATTGTAGAATGTAGAGAACAGATTTTTCTAATAAGAAACCACTACAATATTACACATACTGAAAATATGCACTGAATTGCATATTTTGTGTGCCACTGTCTCATAATGTAGCTGCAGAAAGTAGAGCTTCACATTGCCTCTTGAGTTGGTTTAGACCTTATACTGTAACAAATAGTTTCTCAACTCACTAAAAGTTGAAGCCCATCTTTTAAAAAACCCATGCTAGAGGATTTGGCAAAAATCTCACTGTGCTTGAGCAAAAATGCAATAGTAAATGGTGTGGTCTGTGTAATCAGCTTTACTCCCATAAGTTTAACATGCCAGTTCCAGTGATACCTAAATTGTACAAGCCTCTTCCAAAGATCACAGAAGTTGATGGTAAGATTCCCATTGTCTTCAGTTTGAGTTTTGGATCTCAATTCACTTTTTCTTGTTGAACTTTCTGCTACTTATTCAGAATTACATAGTGCTCCTTAAAAAAAGCAGTGACGAGTCCTGGGGCATATGGACTCATCATTGTTTTTGCATATACAGACTAACACCCCTACCCCTCATAGTACTTCTTGGTCTACTAGAGATATCTAACCTTCTGCTGCATCTATTATCAGATCATTGGTAATTCTTAGATCCCTTCAGACTTTCCTTAATAATCTCTATGTATTAAACATTCAAATGTTGATAATTTCTCCCAATTTCCTTTATTAATTTCTCTTGTTCAGCAGAGCCCTAGGTTCCTGACTTTTAGTCAATGGGACTTAATCTTGCACTCAAGTGCTTTGATGAATTGGGCATGAGGCCCTGCTTAGGCAGTTGAATTTATGAAGATAGATGCTTGTGTCCATGTGGAGGCCATATACTTTAGCTGGTCACTGCACAGATGCAAGACTCCAGCTGCACAGATGTGATTGCAGGATTTGGGCCTAAATGAATGAAGATCATTTTAAAACTGTGTGTGTTTGTAAGGCTATGCCTGGCATGGGCTACCCTTGCCGTCTTTTCAGCCAAATCTTCCAAGATTACACAGTTTTAAAAGAACAGTTTCTGAAATACAACATGAAGTTTTAGAAAATGGTGTTGATTACAGCATAATTTCTGCTTCCAGACTGAGGATACGAGTTTTGTTTTATGGCTTTTAAATAGAAAGCTCATAAATGTCATATTTTTAGAGCCATTGCCTGTTCCTTTTATTAAGGGTCTTTGTGGCCACAGGTTTTGTAGGTAGCCAAGATCACTGCTAGTAACAGTTATATGACCAGATACTACCACACAGACACTGAACTGTACATTCATTCCATTGGGACTGTTTTTAGAATAATGTATCATTTAGTGTAAATAAATGTGGCAGAATTTGGCCTGTGATGATCTGGTAGTACCTCTGCTGAAACAGTTATTGTGTGGGGTTAGAATGACCAATAGGAATACAATATGTGTTACAGCAATGCATACTTTTTACTGTATATTCCAATTTAAATACATGTCAACCAATTGCAGTTATAGGGTTGCAAGGGCATTCTAAGTGGAATCTTAGATGATAGGTGCTCTTTCCAATATCTATTTGATGTCAAGGTGTTTTCATATAAATATTCAAAGATGTTCAAAGTAGAACACTTTTGGAGCCACAAGTATGTAGAATTTACTACTTATCTCCTCATCGTGGAATTATCCGCACAAAGCAGATTTTGAAATCCCTCAGTAAAACTGATCCCACTGGTTCTGTACATTATTCTCCCTGTCTCCCATTTAGCATGTTAGTTTGCTGACAGTAGAGTACACAGCACTTAGCAGCTGGTTTGTGGAACCATCAGTCAGGAAATTGTATGATAAATAGGAGGTAGCCGGGTTTAGTGGCACTTTATTCTGCTTCAGCAGTTTTAGCTTGACTTTGGAAAGTCATCATGAGGTATTTTTTCACAGGTTTCAACAGAAGATGGCTACAGTGCAGTAACTTATTACACATATGCTTGAGTTATGATGCTCACCAGCTGTATTGCTATGTGTAAATAAGAAACTGTGAGATGGATAATTATGGTGAATGCTAGATATTCAGGTCTATTCCAGTCATGCGGGGTTGACTTAGACAGTTCTCTGTGCAATGATGGAATACTTCTGTTTCCCAGACAAAAACCACAAACAAAATGTAACCAAGGCACATAGAGAGACTTAATATTAAAGGACTGAGAAATGTGTTCTTTCAGTTTTCTGCCCCCATTAAATGGCAGTACAAGATAACAGAGGTTAATGAAGTGAATGTATAACATAAATACACACATTAAATACCACTGGATGCATCTGGGCTTTAGGTAATTTAATATTTAGTTTTCCAAAGAGAACATTATAGAAGATCACATTTAACTTTAAGGATAATCTGGTACATGGTTAAACGGTGTTTAAAACAGGGGAGCAGCTCTCCTGAGTGGAGTTTCAGCCTGGCTCGGCAGGGATGGCAAATAAGCAGTGCATTCTGTACAGACTTGTTCACCTTGTGGGAGTTGGGGTATGGTGCTATTTGATATTTGGGGAGCAGAATCCAGACCCTGGGGACAACCCTCCCCTGTCCCTTTTTCTCCTCAGAATTGCTACTAGGAGAGAAACGGGGAGAGGTATGTTTGTTGAAGAGTGGCTAATACATCTTGGAGGCAAATTATGTCCTGCAGGATTAAGACCCCTACTCAGTTTACATAATTTCACTTTGTAGGCTTTGTGGGGAGCACATCACACATCAGAATCCCACACTGTGTAGATATCTCTGTGCTCCTCCTCCTCCTTCAGACATTATCCGTGATTTCAGGCTGCATTGTGGCTTTTAGGGCCAGTGATTGACACAAAATACATTTCATGCACTGGAAGCAAGTGTCTTCTGGTCCACCCACAACCACAATTTCCTGTGTTTGACCATGAGTCCTGTAGAAGTCACTGGGACTCAGCACAAGCATAGGAGTGGATCAGATTGCTAGAGTGTAGGTGTTTATATCCAGTTTGTAGAGTAGGGCAAGGACAATTTTTTCCACTATTTGATCTGAGGAAGTGGGTCTGGCCCATGAAAGCTCATCACCTAATAAACCATCTTGTTAGTCTTTAAAGTGCTACATAGTTCTGTCTTTTGTTTCAGCTACACCAGACTAACACGGCTACATTTCTGTTACTCATCAAGAGGAAATGCTCACATTAGGAAACCATGATCACTTTTCAAACAGGATGAGGCCCAACTCGGTACATGGCAAAAATGCAGTGCCACTGAGCATATTGAAGCTGGACAGAATATTTCAAAATTGTCATGAAACATTTCCTCAGAACTTGTGTGAATTCTTCATCCCTCACCCTCCATGCCCCCTTCTATGCTGAGAGTCACAGCAAGACTGAAAAAGGCCTCTCTTGCTTGGTTTTTTCACACTGAGCATCAATAAGATTTCTCCTTTTAGAACACCTTTTTAATAAAACTGTTCACATCTGCTTTTAGGATCACATAAACATATGGTTTAAGGCAAAATAAACAATAGTTAATAATTGGTCTAGATGGGAAGGTTTTATATCCCTGGAGTCATTTGGCTTTGTGATGTATGTTGCTGCTTGAACTTTGTCTCCTCCATTCAGGATTGTAATCATACATTAAATATCTTCTAGAAAATAATGTTTTTCACAATAGACAGTTGCAAAGGTATGAAAATGTTGATAGAGATCTACAGTACATTTAAACTGCTTCATCCAAAATTGTGGAGCTCTTTAATTAGAGAATTATGTGAATAGAGATGTAGATTGGTCTGGTCTGTATGCAACCGGCTACGTCTACACTGGCCCCTTTTCCGGAAGGGGCATGTTAATTTCAGCTATCGCAATAGGGAAATCCGCGGGGGATTTAAATATCCCCCGCGGCATTTAAATAAAAATGTCCGCCGCTTTTTTCCGGCTTTTAGAAAAGCCGGAAAAGAGCGTCTACACTGGCCCCGATCCTCCGGAAAAGGGCGCTTTTTCCGGAGGATCGGGGCCAGTGTAGACGCTCTTTTCCGGCTTTTCTAAAAGCCGGAAAAAAGCGGCGGACATTTTTATTTAAATGCCGCGGGGGATATTTAAATCCCCTGCGGATTTCCCTATTGCGATAGCTGAAATTAACATGCCCCTTCCGGAAAAGGGGCCAGTGTAGACGTAGCCAACTTGTGTAGTGGTGGGTTGGGGAAAAAACTGTGAGGAACAAGTAGTTTACCCTCTTGTGTAATGAATGCAACAGCTGTCCACAAGTAATAGTGAGTATAATGGCAGCTTGAGTTGGCCTTCCCAGGAACAACTTGCCAGAAATAGGGCAGGAAGTAACCCAAGCCATTTCTCCCGACTGCTTTACATGCCTGCCTGAAGAGGTGGACGGCTGCATGCAAAGAATATGCTACATCCTTTTTAAGGGCTGAGGAAATCAATCCCCATGCCCTGAGGCACATACTTCCTGATGCTTCCCCTTGGTGTACTGCAGCACAGTGTCCCCTCCAACACAGCCTTTCCCAATAATAATTTCCTTCTAACGTAATTGTAATTTACTCCAGATTTTACTTTTGTATGCCTGCTGCTTTACTTCATTCCGCTGCATCTTTTTTTTTTACTGCATTCTATTTGTAGTCTATTTTTAGACTTTTCTTTCAATAACATTTGTATTTGTTTTAATATGAAAAAAAAGAACCAGGGAAGCTTATGAAAGGCTCGATGATCCTTTTGATCTGACACTTCACATGTGTGCAGTGTAATTATTTATTAAAGGCTTCTTTATGTAATTTGCCATTTAAGCTATAAAAGGCGAATACTAACTTTAATAAATGAATATTCATGCTCCTCCGGGCAAATGTTGTGGGCCAAATTCTGTTCAGTTACACCAGCATTGTATTAATTGAGACAAATTTGACCATCCATCATACTCCAGGTGACACATACTTTGGGATGTGTAATCAGTATTAAAAATAGCTACATGATATATTCATATTTGGAACCCTTATTTGTTTTTCAGACCCGCCTCACCTTTTTCCACCATTCCACCCTCCTGTGCCAATTGATGCAAGACATCACGAAGGACGTTACCATTATGAACCATCTCCCATTCCTCCACTGCATGTGTAAGTATTAACATTTTCCACATTGTTGTATTATGAAGCCCAGAACAAGAGAGAAATGTTTGAATCCTTATGGTGCTTAAAACTCAGTGCCTGGAAAGCTTTGCTGCTGTATCTGGAGAGGAAGATTTACGTTTGGAATGCATCAAGTTTATCTGTTCATGGATTCACTGAAGCAAAACCAGGCTGGTGCTTTAGGAATGTCTTATAATAGGTAGCTGGCAAGTGTTACCTATATATTTTGCTGGTATTTATTCTGTGTACTGTCATTCTATAAATACTAAATTAACAAGTACAAAGCCCTGTGAAATACTGGTAAACAAAACATGCATTTTGTCTGGATTAGCTTTGGGATTCTTCATAAACTAAAATTTCCTGTAACATCAAAGCTTTTTCCTGGTGACTGCCAGGGAGCATAATGAAATTTTGGGTGAATTTTCATAGTCCCTCTTATGTGTGTGCACAAGCAGTCAGTTGATTGATGGGAATGTCACCCAAACAAAATGGCAAATGTAATAGAGCACATAGTTTACACAAAGATAAAAGAATGCCAGTGATAACGTGTATTAGAAAAAGAGGGGAGAGGTGGGATGCTGTGGAAATATGTATTATCTTATTCTATATGTAGAGTGGAATTTCAGATATGTAAAATATAGCAATGATCTTTTGACATAATGTCCAGAAAACGGCCATAAACCACAAAAAATGGAGCTATAAGGAGGGCTTAGTTCTTTGCTAAATGTCTTGATATATACATTTAATTATATCTAATAATCACTTCTCATTTTGAGAAAATAAAAGAAGAAATGCACAAGTAATACTTTGAAGAATAATGCTAGTTGTTTAGAGGGCAGATTGCATCTCCATAGCTATTACTTACAGCTGTGTAATTACATATATACAAAAGAAAAATGAAGTTGTTTTAAAACAAGTCCTCCTCTGTGAGCAGAATTAATTGATATTAACAATCCTAACTACATGCCAAGTACACACATAATATTTTACCAACCGGTTTTTTGGATTAGTCTCCTATTACTGAATTGTAATTTCAGAGCAGATTTGCCTGGAGGTAAGTAATAAATCTGTGTTGCCGTCCTCCTTGGGCATTAAAGGAAAAGTGGGTATTTATAGAATGAAAGAGAGAGCACAGAAATTTGTGATTTATTCCTTAGAGTTTCATTGATGCATCAGTAAGTATGTACACCATATTCAACCACGCAATAACATACATTCAAATAAAGATTTTAATTTAACCTACTGTTCAAAGACAGACACATTTTGTATTAAATTAAGGCGTAATTTAATTCACCTCTCTCATTCTAGGTTTTGCAATGCATATGAAGCTAGATTCTACCATAGCTTTTTAGAGTCCTTCACATAGTTTCTAAAATCAGCCTTGAGTTGGAGGCCTAGGATGTGATCCTACGCTCTTTGAAGTCAGGCGGAATTTTGTCATTGGCTTAAAAAAAGAGTAAGATTGTCACCATTACCATTATTTAATAATACCTTGAATTTAAATAGCATATCTCATTCAAAAGGTCCCCAAATTGCACTACAAATGAATAGACAGATTCTGGGCCTGTAGTTTGCTTGGGAAAAGATTCCAAGGATGTACTCTATTAGGGAATTGCTGTTGCTGAAATGCATTAGTCTCTTGAGTATTTTACTGGAGTTCAACAATAGACAGAGGCAAATTTTAGATAAGCAGAATGTGATCACCCAGTTTGGAATATGGCCTGGAATTGGGGCTAACCACTTATTAGACAAAAGCGGCACTTGGACAAGTCGTTTAAAAAACCATAAATGGTTAAGATCTCAGTTTAATATATTTCATTGAAAAACAACGGTACACTCTCTTTATACCACAGTGAGTCACTGGAGTCCGTACTGACTCAGAAGGGAGAATTTCACTTACTGAATAACCAACACCAGTAGTGCCAGCAGTATCTTGAATGTCTCCCACCAGGGCATAGCTTATAAGAATAGATAGCATTTTAGCAGGAAGACATGGGCTGCAGGTAGTTGCTTGAAATTCAGGATATGTCTACACTACCGTTTGAAATTCAGGATATGTCTACACTACCGTTTTTTTTCAGAAAAACGTCTGTTTTTCTGAAAAAAACTTCACTTATGTCCACACTGCAATCGTGTTCTTTTGAAAAATAAAAATAAAAAGGACAGAGGGGTTTTTCCGACATTGGTAAACCTCTTTCTATGAGGAACAAGCCTTTTTCCAAAAGAGCTTTTTCAGAAAAAGGCGTGTGTGGATGGGGAAGAGGGAGTTCTTTCAAAAGAAGAGGAAAGAGGGAAAAACACAGGTGTCCTGGTAGCCATTCTGCCCATAGTAATCACAGCTTAAATCTGAGTGTGTGTCCATTCAGTGTGGACGCTATCTTTCAAAAAAGCAGATAGCTTTTTTCTATGCGCTTTTGCTGTGTAGACGCTCTCTTTTGGAAGACGTTTTTCTGGAAGATCTCTTCAGGAAAAGCTTCTTCCAAAAGAAGCCTGCAGTCTAGACATAGCCACAGGTAGTTTCAAATGCAAGTTTAGCTTTACTTTAAATTCCTTTGCTGGTGTTGATTTATATTTACATAAACTTTAGTAGATTTTTCCCTTCAGTTTGTTTATGCCGTTGTTGGAATAAGAAGGTATAACAGTACATAATGGAGCCAATATGATCTGTGTAACTAAATGTAAATATGTAATTAGGCAATTGTTCAAAAGAACCTTTCAGACTGTAAAAGCTTTCTCATAGGTTCATCGGTTGTAGAGTTTTTAAAAATTCATAGTAGTTTACACACATGATAGATACCAACAATTTTCTTGTAACTTAGGTGTAAAATCCACGTTTAGGAATATTGGATTTTAGTTTAGAAGGGATTAATCACTCCTTTGGAGACATTATTTGGATAGTTGTTATGACATCCTCTAACAAAATGATTTAAAGTAATTTCAGTTTCTGAGAGACCGTGAATAAGGCATTGGATAGGGTATAGGGCAGACTAGAAACCAAGACTTTGTTCATATCTCTGCCACTAACTATGTGAGTCTCTCGACTTCTTTCTTCCATATTTTCACCATATGTAAATCTGGGCATAATGATGGATTCCTAGCTTTGCAAAGCTGGTTGAGATCTATATCTAAAGAATACTGAGTCTTACTCTAATTAGGGATAAATAGAACAAATAGAGAGGAAAAAATAGAAAATTTCAAAAAAGGAATATAATGATATCTGGGTGCATATAATATCTGGGTCTACAATATCTTTTTTTTTTGAGTGACATGCAAACTTAAAAAACAGTGAATATCAGTAAACTTTTAGGTATATAGGATTTGTGCACAGTTCCACCTTGAAAGATATCTACATGAAATATTAGGATTTTTTTAAATTGTTCATGGGCAGAAATCTGGTATCCTAAAATTCACCCCAGAGCAAAATTGTATAACTGACTTATAAAACCCTAAAATAGGGGGTTTTGTTTGTGATGGAATTGCTGACAGATTCATCTGTATAGTAAGACTAGCAGGCATTGCTATAATTATGCTATCGTATCCTATCATTAAAGATTCCATTGAAAGAGGTTTATAAATTGCTCTTCTTCTTAGATAAACCACCCTCCATTAAGGCATCAACGATATGGTGCAGAATTAAATTAAAATCTCATAAAATGAAATATGTTCTGTATTAGCTGTTTGACACTTAATTTGCCTCTGAATGAGGAGAGGAAATCACAAATTAACCTGCCTTTGTTTTTCCAACCATGGCTTATTAGGTGTTAGAACAACTGCAATTACAGCCCAGTAATAACCCCCCAACCCTTATGAATATGTACTGAAATGTGTCACTTCGTGTTATGGAAACCTGTTTGTTAGAACTGCTTCAGTTTTCCTAGATTTTCTACCATACGTCTTCAGTTTGTAACTTATCAGGAAGAAGGGTTAACACACTTTTCCTCAACAGCAGTACTTAAACAGTGTTAGTAGAAACTACATGTCTCACTTTTCAAATGATGCATCTTGATATTCAGATGACTTATATTAAAATATAATGCAGTTGTATTATTTTCTGTTAAAATAACAAGTTAAAATTATCTTATAACATAGGCATTAGAAAATTAAAACAGGCTAAAAGAAAACAGAGATACTTTGATTTTTCTGTTTGTTTGTCTCTTTCCTCAATTTATTAACTGGGTTTCTACAGTGACAAATCACTGTTTGATTAACTGTGGTTTCTAGCCCTTTCCATTTGCTGAAATATCCTTCTAGAATTCCATCTTCTCCCGTTAGTTACCAGCCAATTAATGTATAGCCTGACCGTAATACATTTGAAACCATGCTAGACGCTGTTATTTAGACATAGCATGTCACATCAGCATGCTATCCTGACCCTTGTGGAAGGGAATTTTCTTTGCCTAAGAACTACATTGTAATCATACAATAGATTAGCTTTGGTGGTAGTTAGACTGGCTGACATTGTTTCGGTATAACAAACAAACAAACAAACATCTGCCAGCAATGGTCAGAGAAACTATGATAGAGCCTTGTTGTTGAAGAAGTGTCATTTTCAGATGTGGAGCTTTCCACTTCCTGTGTAGCATGAGGATATTATTTATTTTAAAATGAACCCAGTGTTATTTAATGGAATTCACTGTGCAGGGTAGAAAATTCTCTCGAGGACAGGTAGAATTTTAAAGTACCCTGGGCTGAACACTTTTTTCCTGTCTTCATATAAGAGAGCAGTTTCAACTCCCTAAGAAGACCTTCACCTGTTATCAATGTGTAATTTGCACCCCATAGCCTCCTTAAACGTCTGCCCTGGATTTGGCCCGCTGAGTCTGTATGAAGGAGTGAGTCTAGGTCAGACTGAAGGAATATCTGCGGTGTTATAACTTATGTGCTGAGGGGTCAGAGAGGGATGTCACAAGACAAGCAACCGAAAGGAGACAAGGTGCAAGTCAGTGTCATCATCTGCCAACTCCTCAAAACTTAGATTCTTGACCCTT